AAAACAACATGCATATTGTATGCAACAAGGCATTAAAGTAATACTGAAGAAAAGAAAACACGGCAAAGGAATATACTTTTTGGTCTAAATACAAAGCCTTATGTTTGGGGCAAATCCAACACAACACATCACTGAGTAACTGCCTCCTTATTTTTAAGCATGGTGGTGGCTGCATCATGGCATGGGTATGCTTGACGTCGGCAAATACTAGGGAGTGTTTTAGGATAAAAATAAATGGGATGGAGCTAAGCACAGGCAAAATCCTAGAGAAAAACCTGCTTTACACCAGACACTGGGAGAGGAATTCACCTTTCAGCAGGACAATAACCTACAACACAAGGCCAAATCTACACTGGAGTTGCTTACCAAGAAGACAGTGAATGTTCCTGACTGGCCAAGTTACAATTTTGACTTAAATCTGCTTCAAAATCTATGGCAAGACTTGAAAATTGGTGTCTAGCCATGATCCCCAACATCTTGACAGAGCTTGAAGAATTATGAAAATAATAATGGGCTAATATTGCACAATCCAGGTAAAGCTCTTAGAGACTTACCCAAGAAGACTCACAGCTGTAATCGCTGCCAAAGGTGTTTCTAACATTTATTGACTCAGGGAACTGAATACTTATGCAACGACTATATTTTAGTTATTTAATTTCTATTCATCTTAAACATTTTTAATTAAATCTTCCACTTTGACATTACAGAGTATTTTGTGTAGATTGTTGACAAAAATACAATTAAATCCATTTAATTCCACTTTGTAACACAATATAATGTGAAGAAATCCAAGGGGTATGAATACTTTTGCAAGGCACTGTATATGAGAAAGCAGACTTTCGTTTAGGCAACAACAACAATTGGCTGTTGAAATAAAGGCTAGACAGTGTCTTAACATTACATGATCCAACACAGACACCTTAGTATTCACACTCTTCTGATGTGAGGATTGTCTGATTTCTAGGCAAAAGCCTTCTCTAAACGTATCAATTGTGTTCCTATATATTAAACATGTTGCTAGTCTAAATGTTCAGCTTCAAATGTATGTTATCATTTGAATCCTCTTAATGGCAAATATGAGCCAAATTATAGGCTACCTTTCCATAATCATAATATTTTTACATAATATCTTCCAAGTTCCTCCTTTTATCTTTTTAAATAAAAGAAAGTAATAGGCTAAATTTTTCTATCTAACCAGACTGATGACCGTCCATTTTTATCATCCAAGATATGAATATCTAATTTCATTGTCGACTCACATGGAAAGAATATGCAGCAGCAGTCTCTAACCCAGTCTGGAAAATGAATTTGGCAGGAGCAATGCCGTTTTCAATTGCTATCCACTCCGAAAAAGGGAAAGGGAGCCATGTCAGCCTATCTAGTACTTATTATGAGTTGATCTGTACAACAGTAGCTATTAAGAACATCAGAGAGGCATGGTTACCAATAGCCTCTTAGATATCCCCCTGCACCTGGCACAGGCGCATAATTGGCTGAGGACGGTAGCCTGCTCCCTCTGTGCTCTGGGGTACACTGTATGCTTCTCTGGTAGCTATATCACTAAACCCTTTCCCCCCATCTACCATCTACTCATCTGAGCCCCTAGGCCTGTCACAATGTCTTGTATCATCCTGATTAGCATAGTCAAGAGCCGTTAGCGTTGTGGCACGTAAACAGAGCCAGGCCTTCTCCCTCCCCTAAACCGTCTGTTTTTCCAGTCTGACTTAGCGTGTTATTTTCTCATTGCTACTACTACTAACAACACAACATATTTTACTCGAGGGGTGACATTGTGGATAAAGATTCCGGTCACCAATTTGCATGCAGTGTAGGCAAAAATGTATTTTAGTGCATTTGTTTGAGAATGATCAGGCTTGTTTGTGTTACTGCCTCCTCAATGCAACCCAGCACTATGAAATGAAGCAGTCCAACATTCTTAGAACATTTGTATAAGGTTTAGTTGTTGTATAATTTGTATAAGGATAACCTATCGGCGCAGAAGGAGGCGCAATCTTCAAACAGCAGAACAAGCACAAGTCATTATATAATGATTACCAGGCCTACTCATTATTTTCTAATATGATTTTCGGTTTGGATACTTCTGCTCCACATTGTGCGTTTCCTTCTCTTTCTCCACAATGTCCTTCAAAAGAGGCCAATTCCCTAGACAAATCGCATCAGTTTCACCTCCATCATTATGGCCAGCTAACCAAGCCCAGCTAACCATGCCCAGCTAACCAAGCTCCTTATGCTCTCGTTAAAAGGCCCCATTTGGTTTTTGGCAGACAAGACTGTCTGAAACCAACTTCCGATAATTAGCAGCGTTATTAAATGTACACAATCTTGTAATGCGGCAACTTTGTAGCTGGCGAGTGTCAGGAGCAACGATGGGCTCCAGCAGTGGTCCCCTTTGATAAAGACAGAAGTAGCAGCAGCAATCTTCAGCTATTGCACTCAGCCCGCTGAGTCCCTCGCCTGTCTCTCAGGCCCTCACTTCAAAGCCATGGGACATAATGTACAATCTCTTAATAGTTTTAGACCAAAGCTTCCCGGGGGCTCTCGGCCACAGTGTAGCCTACCTCAGTGTAAACACCTAATCAAGATTGCCTGGGCCTGGCCACAATAGCAGCCAAATAGCAATCCAAGATCTGCGGCCCTTTGAAGTCTTCATTGCAAAAACTGATGTTTCCTGGGCGGCTCAAGGTAAAATGGCATGCCCAATTGCCTGGACTTTGTTGTGGCTCGTCTCGCCAAGAGGAGGGCAATTACGGGCCCCAATTTAGCAGAATAGATATTACACAGCTTACAATGCTCAAAATGCAATTTGGCTTAGATCATTTGGCTCCAATTGATTGGGATTTTTATAATGGGTGACAAAAGGCAGTGTCAGGGGGCACAGGCAGAGGTTGTGGCCCTGTCTTGCCATGGGAGAGCTGGGGATTGAGAGGTGGGTGGGTGGGTGGATGCTGTCATTGGTGGAGTCATTGACACCTGTTACTGATCTACACACAAAACAGCTGCTGCTCCACCAGTGTCAGGCTTGGGGACACACAGGACAACACCTGGACCATCAGACAGCCTATTCAATTACTAGAGGGACTATGTCATCAATCCTTAAAGTTCCAGAATGGTGTGAAAATGGCTGCCATATTGGTCAGGGAGAAATCCAAACCAGTCTAATTGGAATGAATGGCAGTAGAGGCATCATCTTGATTTTAATTTATGCAGTAAAATAAAAGTAAGGTGTGATATATCAGAAAGTGTGTAATAGAATTATTGTCAACCTAAAGTATTGTCATATAATTATAAATAGTTTATACGAATTTTACACCAATTGTCTGTATAAATAGCCTCTAAAATATATGTAAAGAGGCCATAAATATCTCAATTTCTGTTTTATTTTAAATATGTAAGTGCTATTATATGATACAATATCAGTACTTGTTGCATTTACAACTTGTCTAAGTCCTATCATCAACTGATGTCAGCCAGTGTATGGCTGTGGAGTAACTGCATTATTTGAATGGAATGTTGGCATATTGGCAGTTAATTAGGAAAATGTATGGAATCATTCCTCTAAAACTGGCTGGCTAGGTAGCTAACAAACATGCAGTGCAGATAAATTCTTGAAATTCATTATTTTACACATTCACCTATCACAGCACTGGCAAACCATGGTTGACCAACTACCTGACCAGAATGGCTGACCTTTATCCCATCATAAGAAGGTTCATGTCCATTCTAGTATTCTAATTCCTAAAGATATGATCTGGACACTGTCAGGATCACCTTGAGTTATATGTGCCAAATAATCAACACCTAACTTAGTTACAAAACCACCCCTCAAACTTCAGTATTTAAACATAACTGTTTTTCTGACATTGAAATGGAAATGATACAATATAGGCGTAGTTTTCCCTAGTTTCACATTGAGAAGTTAGGCTACTACTCATAAAACGTATTTCTAATATAGAATAGGCCATAACATCACATGTATTCTGCACCAAATCCCACAATGATAGTAATTCTAAAATGTCAGTCTTCAGACCAAAATAGCATATCATTCAGTTACTTATTTCATTTGCTTTTTATTGCAACACCAGCTCTGCTTTTGCCGCCGCTTAGCTATCATCTGTGTGCCTTCTTGCCCAGATAGAGAGGACACTGCATCGGGTTATCAGCCCAGCTCCCCGCATACCTGGCCTTTCAGCGGATAGACAGAACATTTTGACACCGCACTTATTGATGGATATATTACAACTCCATCCACTCACTCTCTCTGACCTTCGCCAATATTCACTCTCCCAGAATTAGTGGCATTTAATGAGGAACTCCTCAGCCTGTCAATACCATCGATCCTCTCAGATTGTCCTCGGGACGCATAGTGAGGGCCCCAAGTTAACTAAATGATTTTCATTATGACATTAGCTGAATACATTTCTCTCTTAAAAACGGTGCATTACAGGACAAAATGAAAGAGAATGGATGTGAGGGTTTGTGGAAGCTTAGGCCAAAACGTGAGGGAATTGATTGTTGTGCAGGCTACTTGAAAAAATATAGGTTACGCCTATGCTACAGATTTGACAGACAGAGTGGGTTTGGTGGTTAGGGGAAACATCAGTACTATCTTTTTGTCCAGTATTCTTGTAACACATTTTAAGCTTGCTATTTAGTGTACTCAAAATGCCTCCTCTCAAAATAGTTTTTTTATTTTGACTGAAAATAAGGTATATATTGGGCAGTTTTTAGTATTGTGCACCTGACTGGACTGTCATTGTTTAACTCGCAGTTAATCGTGCCATGAAATATTTACCTCCAATTTGCTTTGCTCTCATGCAAACCATGTAGGCTATTCATACAAGGGTTAGACAGCAGACTCAGCTTTTAGCAACATTTACCTTATGTCTTTCAATCTGTTCCATGAGCGGCTATTTCATTTTGAATGACACTTTTTGCTCCACTCTCCTTTATTTGTATGTTTTCTCTTTTTCTATCCAAAGGTTTCCGATACTACAGAGGAGATTACCATTGGTGGGAACCAGGAGGAGGAAAGCCAAGGGGACATATCAGACCCGGAGCTGAGGTGGCTCCAAAAAACCCAGCAACTCAAGGTGGGACTCTCTCCACTCCTTTTCATGTTATGATCTCATTCACTTTCTCCTGTGTGTGTTTTTGGTGAGGGTTGCTTACCACAACACCCGATTGCCTTATAACGCATAACTGCCAGCGAGGGGCTTTCTGCTCAATATGAAAATACCTGCACAGTGGGTTCACTACTGTCACCTGGGATTTTCATTTTACCCCCGCAACAGACCCAATCTACGTCTGATAGGGTTGTCGAGGCACAATAGGGCCTTAGCCCAAAAACTGTCCTGAAAGGGAGCCTCTACAGGCGGGAAAAAGCGAGGGGAATGGAGAAACATCATTATTTTGAGCACTTGAGCGGTCACCCTAATGCCTTGGCAGAGGAGAGGAGTGTAAATATTTTCCCATTAGAATGAGGGAAAATTGGTGTTTGCTAAATCAGAGGCATTAGATGCTGAGGCACACAGCCTCGGAGCCCGGCAGAATAATTTGGGAAAGCCATGCTACCAGGATCTCCAACATTACATGAAAGGCCCTCTATGGCCATGACAAAAGCCACAAAGCATCAGTTACTGTCACGGTTTCGGCCGAGGCTGCCTCTCTTCCTTGTTCGGGCAGGCTTCGGCGTTCGTTGTCTCCGGAATACTAGCTGCCACCGTTGTATGTTTCATGTTCGTCTGCTTTTGTCTGTTTGTTGTGACACCTGTTCTCGTTTAGCGTAATTAGTGTCCTATAAGTTTCTCGTTGTGTTTGTCTAGTGTTGTGTGTTATTGATTTTGGTCTGTCGTGTGTTGGGCTTATTTTAGCTATTTAGCTCGGTTGAGCTTCCCTCCACTGCGTTGGAGTGTTTACGCACCTGTTAGTGCGCTTTTGTTTTGTTCGCCTTCGTGCGTAATTTCGCCTTCGGGCAAGTCGTGTCGTATTCTCCTTGTTGGAGATTTACTAAAGTCTGTTGGACTATACTTCGGTGTCCTGCGTTTGATTCCACCACTACACCCACCTACAGCACTCGTGACAGTTACATAGGGAAAGAGGGGTATTTCTTCCGTATTTTGGGTAAAATCTTCCAGCCATCGTCCCACTGATACGTTGAGTTAAGGAACAGATGATACCACTCTTATGTTGTTCACAAATTGAGAGTTTTATGTTTTATAAAAAACATTTTAAGTGTATTTTTTGGTGTTCATGGTGTCTCAATCATGGGAAGTACATTCTGATGTATTTTCCCAAAGCTTATTTCATATGATATCTTGTTAATGAAAGAACATTTCCAGTACGTTGGCGTCCTCCTGGTTCTTAAAATATTTGATTATTTCCCTATTTTCCTTGGTCAAATAGGGTCCTTGTTAGATGTATTACATGGGACTCATCAATCAAGCGTTAGCATATTTTAACCAATGCAGGAAGTCCTGATTTTCACAACTTGTTTGACCTCCATTTCCTACATCATTGATATTGAACTTGTATATTTTGTTCCTTATTGTCGTTGTTGAGCTGATCATATTGCTGTTAGCCTATTGGTTGCTGTGATGTTATTCCAAATGTGAGTTCCGTTATTTCCAACGTCTTCTCACAGGTAACTCAGATCTCCAAAGAAAAGCAAGCTCAGCAGAGAGCGAACCCCAAACCCCCCAGTGAGAAGAGACTCCCGGCTCAGGGGGTCAAAGCCAGGCCAAGAGACTGCTACCTGAGTCCCCCCACCGACACCCCCAGAACTGCAGCCATGACCCAGGCTCACTCCCACCCCCACCCCCACCACCACCACCAACCCCAGCACTCACCCCACCTCCAGGCACTCAGTGACACAGATTCCCAGTCTAGCACACTGGATACCTGGCCACACCAGCCCCAACGCATCCCCTTAACACAGTCCCCCACCGTCCACCCCAACATCAACCTCAACACCTCGTCCGAGCTCCTCCCTTTCATGCACCGCAATCACCAGGACGCCGTTCTCACCATAACCTTGCCCTGTAGTGGCCCCAGCCCCCAAAGGAAGCCACAGTCAATAGACGGGTATAGGCCTAACGTCAACGTACCGCTTAGGAACGCCATCCTCGTCAACCCTTACTCCCACCCAAGCCCTCACCCCTCTCCCCAAGACGGTTTATTACAGCTGGCTTTGGTTCCACAGGCTGCTGTGTCTCCACCGAGCCCAGGTTGGGGCTCTCGCTGCAGGCAGGGCTTCCCAGGGATGCCCCCTCTCTGCCAGGGCAGCAGAGAACCACTGCACCTCTGGCACCAGGAGAACGCCCCATGGCAGCGTGAAAACCACAGTGTCCTGCAGTATGATGATGAGGATAGTCACAGGTCTACTTACACCGCCCAGACACAACACTCCTCCGGCTCCTACACAGTGCTGCCCCCTATAGGTAAAACAACAATGGGAGACCCTGAGCTAGGCCGTGACAGAGCTGCACAGAGATTCACCTCCATGCAGAGAAGCAGCTCTGAGGGCTACCTGGCACAGATGAGGAGAGAGAAACAACTGAAGGAGAGGATAACTTACAAGGTGTGTGTGTGCGTGCATATGTGTGTGTGCGTGTGTGTGTTAACTTTAGCACACTATGTGTGTGTTAATCGTTAATTGCCACACTAACAAGCCAGGGCATGGTTACCTTTCTCAATACAGTTAACGGGCTAATAACGGGCTAATTACATGACAGCCATTTGCCTAATCTCAAAGGGCATAATCAGAGTCGCGCAAGTTGCACAAACAACCATTTTGAGACGTGTAAGAGAATAAGGTGAATAAAAGAGAGAGAGGGAGGCAAGGGGCGGCTAAAGACGGCCATTTACATGTAATGACGGCCTCTGTCGTTGGCCTGCTTGAGCCCTGCAGGTGTGTCCCACTGAGGAACAGAGAAAGTCAGCCCTGCTCCCATAAGGTAGTGTAGCACAGACTAGAGACATCCACATACAGTAGTAGACATTCGCTTTCTAAGACAAAACACTCAGTTAATGTTATAACGTAGCCTACTATTTTTATTTATTAGATAACTTAAATAGATATTCTACTGATAATTGTTAAGGTACCAATTAATCCGAGAAAATTACTTTAATCATGTTATTACTGTTACAGGCTTTGGTTTTTTCATTTATGTTTTGAGGTTGGACTTTAGTGGAAAGGTGGGAAGGTGTTTCACCTGTGCTGGCCCAGGTGCTATTTAAGAGTGGCTGGCCCAGTGCTCCAGTTATCTTAATAGATGCGGATTAACGTCTTTAGTTGGCACGCCCTATTTTGATTTCGAGACAAACAATCCTTTATCTGATTTCCCTGATTTCATTTGCACCACCTTTTTGGTTTGCTTCCTGTCTTTATGTTTGGTGTGGGTTTTTCTTTTGTTTACCTCTTTTTGGGAAAATTTAGTGGGCGCTCATGGTGGGTGTCTTTTAGGTTCCAGTTGTTGTTGCTAGTCAACTTTCAGTGGACACCCCCATGAGTGTTTTTCAGAACCCCTCCTAAACCCCACCTGTTTCGTTTTAGTTGTTGGTCAGTGACTCTTTGTTAGTTCCCCCTTCTGTTTGAGCGACATTTTTGGTTTTCTAGCTGTGGAACGTAATGGGGGCTCGTCCGGGATTTTATTTCCCATGAGTATGGTAGTCGCTCTAGTCACCTACTCTGAAGCTCTGCTGTGCCCAAATATTTGAGTGTTCAAAATACACTTTTGTGGTAGCATTTCTGTCACTGACATGCACCTTGAGGGGTTACAAGATTGGTGGAATCATTTTGAAAGTTGCATAAACACACAGGCTAATAAAAATAAAGCCATGGACTTTAAGTTGGAAGCATTTGTGGAAAACCCTACATGGGAGATGCTAGATAAATGTACTAAGGCGAATCTCCTCATCATTGCAAAGCATTATGACATCAAGGTGGCATCTGGCGATCTGAAAGCAGTGGTCAAAGAGTTGATCGATACTGTTTTGGTGGAGGAGGTATTCCTCTCGGAGAGAGAGGCTGATGAAAAAGGTACTACGGGTAGTGGGGTGAGTCCCATAGACGTGCAACTGTGGGAGTTAGAACTAAAGGCAAAGTTGGGGCAACAGAAATTAGAGCTTGAACAACAGAAATTAGAGCTCGAGCAGAAGGAAAGAGAATGTGAATAGAGGTTGGAACAACAGAAATTGGAGTTTGAGCACAGGGAAAGACAAGCTGAGTGTGTAGCCAAACAACAATAGCGTGCAGCCAGACAAGAATAAGAAGAACGTGTGCATGTCATTCGATTAAAAGAGATGGAGCTGGAAGCGCGACAAAGGGAGATAGATGGCCGCAATATATTTGGTCACTGTTCCTCCAAAGTGTTCTTGTGGGATAAGCTCAGAAAGTGTATGCCGCCTTATCTCTTGACCAGAGTTCAGACTATGACACTGTTAAAGCTGCTATCCTTCAGGCTTACGAGCTGGTCCCAGAGGCATACAGACAACAGTTCCGTAAATTACGAAAGACAGAATCACAAAACCATGTTGAGTTTGCAAGGGAACAAGCATGTATTTTTGATTGGTGGTGTGGTTCTCAAGAGGTCAAGGACCTTGAGGATTTAAAGATTCTCATACTTCTCGAGCAGTTCAAGAATTGCCTTAACGAAAGGGTTGCTATCTAATATTTATGAGCACAAGGATCTCACTCTTGAGAAAGCTGCAGTTCTTGTAGATGAGTTTGTGTTGACACATAAAACTACCTTCACAAATAAAGCACCAAGTAGTTATCCTTACGCAAAAAGCAATCCAGAGAAGTCACATCCTACTGCGAGGTTTCAGTCCATTTCTACAGTGCCCAAAGATAAAGATCGGCAGAAAACTGTTTTTTTTTGTATCCGCCAGTTTGTCATTACTGCCGTGAGAAAGGACACGTTGTCTCTCAGTGTCCTAAGTTGAAACAGAAAAATGAGAGAGAGAAAAAAACGTTATTCTTGTGGGAGCACTCCAGCCCATTAAGTCTCTGGTTGGGACTGGTGTATCTGTCACACCCTGGCTCTGGGGACTCTATATGTTGAGCCAGGGTGTGTAAATTATATGTGTTTATGTTCTGTGTGGGAGTTCTAGTTGTGGTATTTCTATGTTGGCCAGAGTGGCTCCCAATCAGAGGCAACGAGTGTCAGCTGTTGCTGGTTGTCTCTGATTGGGAGCCATATTTAAACAGTCTGTTTCCCTTAGTGTTTGTGTGATCTTGTTCCGTTTGGTTTGTTTCCGTGTCGGTTGTGTTAGACCGAGGACGTCACGTTTTCGTTTTGTTGTTTTGTTCGTGCATTCATTATATAAATAAAATATGTTTGCAACTAACGCTGCGCATTGGTCTACTCCGTATAACGATCGTGACAGTATCTCCTAAACAAGATTTTGGATCAGATGTGTATAAACCCTTTGTTTCAGACGGGTTCGTGTCTGCAGAGTGGCGATGCTGTTAAGCAGCCGTTTAAGATACTGTGAGACACTGAGGCAGCCCTTCATTTTGGAGGGTGTTTTGCCTTTGTCTGACATTTCAGCAACTGGTTACAGTATGTTAGTACAAGGTGTGGAGATGGGTTGCATGGAAGTTCCTTTGTATAATGTGGAACTCGAGTCTGATCTTATTTCTAGTTCCGTTGTCGTTGGAGTGAGGCCTAGCCTACCAGTGAAGGAGGTCTCATTCATTTTGGGATTCGATTTGGCTGGAGGGAAGGTCCTGCCAAATCCTGTTGTTTGTAAGTAGTCCTCCTGAGTGGCGCAGTGGTCTAAGGCACTGCATCGCAGTGCTAACTGTGCCACTAGAGATCCTGGTTCGAATCCAGGCTCTGTCGCAGCCGGCCGCGACCGGGAGACTCATGGGCGGCGCACAATTGGCCCAGCGTCGTCCAGGGTAGGGGAGGGAATGGCCGGCAGGGATGTAGCTCAGTTGATAGAGCATGGCGTTTGCAACGCCAGGGTTGTGGGTTCAATTCCCACGGGGGGCCAGTATAAAAAAAAATATGTATTCACTAACTGTAAGTCGCTCTGGATAAGAGCGTCTGCTAAATGACTAAAATGTAAATGTAAAAATGTAAGGAAAACAGAGTAGACAAACCTGATGGGTTATCAGAAAAGTACCCTAGAGTGTTCCCAGCGTGTGCCGTTACACATGCTATATCTAAGAAAGTCAACGGGAGCAAGTCTAGTGTGGAGGAGGATGTTCGCGATCCCACCATGGCCGATTTGTCTGAGACGTTTATGGGTGATCCTGATTTTGCTAAACCTCCTGAGTTGACCTCTTCTTTGAAAACCCTAAAGGTAAGTGAGTTTGTAGGACCGCTGAAGGAAGAGAGGGTCCCTACAGTTGACACTTCGATGTCTAGGAAGCAGCTGATTGCAGAACATAGTGAAGATGTTTCCCTCTCCCCTCTTTTTGCTGAGATACAGTACCAGTCAAAAGTTTGGACACACCTACTCATTCAAATTTTTTTTTTTTTTGTACTTTTTTTTTTTCATTTAAGAATAATAGTGATGACATCAAAACTATGAAATAACACATACAGTTGAAGTCGGAAGTTTACATACACTTAGGTTGGAGTCATTAAAACTCGTTTTTCAACCACTCCACAAAGTTCTTGTTAACAAACTATAGTTTTTGCAAGTCGGTTAGGACATCTACTTTGTGCATGACACAAGTAATTTTTCCAACAATTGTTTACAGACAGATTATTTCACTTATAATTCACTGTATCACAATTCCAGTGGGACAGAAGTTTACATACACTAAGTTGACTGTGCCTTTAAACAGCTTGGAAAATTCCAGGAAATTATGTAATGGCTTTAGAATCTTCTGATAGGCTAATTATCACCATTTGAGTCAATTGGAGGTGTACCTGTGGATGTATTTCAAGGCCTACCTTCAAACTCAGTGCCTCTTTGCTTGACATCATGGGAAAATCAAAAGAAATCAGCCAAGACCTCAAACATTTTTTGTAGACCTCCACAAGTCTGGTTCATCCTTGGGAGCAATTTACAAACGCCTGAAGGTACCACGTTCATCTGTACAAACAATAGTACGCAAGTATAAACAACATGGGACCACGCAGCCGTCATACCGCTCAGGAAGGAGACCCGTTCTGTCTCCTAGAGATGAACGTACTTTGGTGCGAAAAGTGCAAATCAATCCCAGAACAACAGCAAAGGACCTTGTGAATATGCTGGAGGAAACAGGTACAAAAGTATCTATATCCACAGTAGAACGAGTCCTATATCGACATAACCTGAAAGGCCGCTCAGCAAGGAAGAAGCCACTGCTCCAAAACCGCCATAAAAAAAGCCATATTACGGTTTGCAACTGCACATGGGGACAAAGATCGTACTTTTTGGAGAAACAAAAATAGAACTGTTTGGCCATAATGACCATCGTTATGTTTGGAGGAAAAGGGGGAGGTAGCTTGCAAGCCAAAGAACTCCATCACAACCGTGAAACACGGGGGTGGCAGCATCATGATGTGGGGGTGCTTTGCTGCAGGAGGGACTGGTGCACTTCACAAAATAGATGGCATCATGAGGAAGGAGAATTATGTGGATATATTGAAGCAACATCTCAAGACATCAGTCAGTAAGTTAAAGCTTGGTCGCAAATGGGTCTTCCACATGGACAATGACCCCAAGCATACTTCCAAAGTTGTGGCAAAATGGCTTAAGGACAACAAAGTCAAGGAATTGGAGTGGCCATCAAAATGCCCTGACCTCAATCCTATAGAAAATGTGTGGGCAGAACTGAAAAAGCGTGTGCGAGCAAGGAGGCCTACAAACCTGACTCAGTTAAACCAGCTCTGTCAGGAGGAATGGGCCAAAATTCACCCAACTTATTGTGGGAAGGCTACCCAAAACATTTGACCCAAGTTAAACAATTTAAAGGCAATGCTACCAAATACTAATTGAGTGTATGTAAACTTCTGACCCACTGGGAATGTGATGAAAGAAATAAAAGCTGAAATACATCATTCTCTCTACTATTATTCTGACATTTCACATTCTTAAAATAAAGTGGTGATCCTAACTGACCTCAGACAGGGAATTTTTACTAGGATTAAATGTCAGGAATTGTGAAAAACTGAGTTTAAATGTATTTGGCTAAGGTGTATGTAAACTTCTGATTTCAACTGTATGGAATCATGTAGTAACCAAAAAAGTGTTAAACAAATCAAAATATATTTGAGATTTGAGATTCTTCAAATAGCCACCATTTGCCTTGATGACAGCTTTGCACACTCTTGGCATTTATATAAAGTTGTTCTTACCTAGCTAATTGCTGTAGACTTAAGTTATTGACGGTTCTTGCGCCACTTCGGGCAAGACGATTGGCCCAGTGTATCTCAAATTGTCGTTCCAGTTACGCTTCGACAAGAGATACTGAGGCTACCTCACGATGGTAGTTTGGCAGGCAATCTGACCTGGTCTGAAACAGAATGTTGTGGCTTACTGTAAATCATGTCACGTTTGCCAGCGGACGGGTAAACCGAACCATGTTGTACTGGTTGCACCTTGGCAGCCTATTCCTGCTTTTGACGAACCTTTCAGCAGGGTTCTGGTGGACTGTGTTGGTCCTTTGCCCAAAGCCAAGAGTGGTAACCAGTTTCTCTTAACCATCATGTGTGCTGCCACTCGTTTCCCTGAGTCCATTCTACTGAGGAAAATCACAGCTCCTGGTATTGTTAAGGCCCTGGTGAAATGTTTTCAACGTTTGGCTTCCGCAGGCAGTGCAGTCAGACCAAGGGTCGAATTTCATGTCAAAGGTATTCCAGCAAATGCTACAACATTTGGGTGTAACCCATTGCCCCTCTAGTGCCTACCATCCAGTCTCAAGGTGCTCTTGAGAGAATTTATCAGACTTTGAAGTCTATGTTGAGAGCTTACTGCTTTGAGTTTGAGAAAGACTGGGATGAAGGGGTCCCTCTTGTGCTGTTTGGACATCATGTCAGAGGTCATTTGAGTTTGCTGAGAAAGTGGTTGTTGCAGTGCGACACCTTAAAAACAAATCTGTTGGAGCACGTTAGCGCTTTTTAATACAGTTTGCCAATGAAAATCTGTAGAGGGCGCAAACGAAAATGAAAGTTTGGTACGATTGGAATGCCTGAAACCGCACTTTCGATGTGGGTGACCAAGTCCTGGTTTTGTTGCCCGTTCTAGGGTCACCGTTGCAGGCTCACTTTTCAGGCCCTTACCCCATAGTGAAAAAAATGTGTAATATGGGTTACATCATCGCCACACCGGTGCACAGAAGAAAAACCAGGCTGTGACATGTTAACATGTTGAAACCATACTTCACCCGCTACGATTGGGTGACGAAGTCGGTGGAAACCGGTAGTGATGTTCTGCCTGTGGCCACTGTTGTCACCGTTGACTATTAGCTTCCTCAAGAGTCCGAGGAAAGCCCAATACCAAATTTAAAGACAGGAAGCAAACCAAAAAGGTGCAGCAAAACGAAATCAGAGAAATCATATAAAGGATTGTTTGTCTAGAAAACTAAATAGGGAGAGCCAACTAAAGGTGTTAACCCTCCGCATCTATAAGTGCTAAAGTCCAACCTCAAAACATGGAAATACCCAAGCCTGTAACACCGGCTTTGGTTTTTCCATGTTTTGAGGTTGGACTTTAGCACGTATAGCTCATTAGCACGTAGGGCGCACCAATTGGTGTCACCTCGTTAGTTAGTATGTGTTACACCTGTGCTGGTTGCCATCTCGTTAGTGGGAAGGTGTTTCACCTGTGCTGGCCCAGGTGGTATTTAAGAGTGGCTGGTCCAGTGCTCCAGTTGTCTTGATAGATGCGGAGGGTTAACACCTTTAGTTGGCGCTCCCTATTTAGATTTCTAGACAAACAATCCTTTATCTGATTTCTCTGATTTTGTTTTGCTCCACCTTTTTGGTTTGTTTCCTGTCTTTAAGTTTGGTGTGGGTTTTTATTTTGTTTGCATAACAAAAGCTCTTTCTCCCGCATTTGATAGCGGTAGCTGTCCACGGTTCTGAAACATCAGTGCGCTGTTGAATTGGCGCCTTTTCCTAGACCATGTTGCTATGTGCATAATAGCAAAGTTAACCAGCATATTGGTGTTGAGAACAATGCGGCGGAGGCAGCAGCAGCATTAGGAGACGAGAAAACAGCCCTTGCCTTAAATGTCTAAGAAAAGTGGGGAAAGAGGAAACCCCAACTTAATTAGGTCTATAATCAATAGCTTAACTGTTAAATGTGCCTGGCTTTATAAATCAACCATATATATCTACAGAAATAAGACAGATCCTGCTTGTGTTGCCTGTTTGAGTGTTTGTTGAATAGCCTACTGATTCTGTGAGGACCAAGCCTCATGCAACACAACATGTCGGATAAACAATTTCGCAAATTTGGCTGTTTTAATCTTTGCTATGCTGTAATAAAAGCTTTCCACTTTTGTTTTGTTAGAACAGCCTCTCTGGTATTACTTATGATTTATTTTGTGTTGTTTTCACTGTTCCAAATTGTCAGAAAAAATAATATTAATAATAATAATAACCATCCTTTTTCTACTATTATTATTATGATCACCATTATAATAATAAGTAATGTCATTATTATTAGTAGGCTTAGGCCTATAACTACCATCGAGCTGTAGACCTAAGAGCGCACCCTGTTTAGTCTTAATACCGTAACTTATTTAGGCCTATATTTCAATACTTATATAGGCTACTGTACCAATCAATCATTAATTCGTTCATGTCATCACACAGCATACGAGTCATTCATGATTTGAAATGCAATCAAGCATTTTAGTTTTAAAATAAATAACAAAGCGACCCTTGAATAATTAGCGTAAACAATAAATAAACCGTTCCATTTTGTAAATTGCATTCATGAATGCATGCGACTGTTTTTAGTCATTGCTGTAATAAAGGCTTTATAATAAAAATAAAAATAAAAACGTTACAACAGACTCTTTGGTACGCTTTTAATTTATTTTTGTTTACATTGTTCCAAACGGTCAGAATAATTATATTGTAATCTACAGTCGTGGTCAAACGTTTTGAGAATGACACAAGTATTGGTCTTCACCAAGTTTGCTGCTTCAGTGTTTTTAGATATTTTTGTCAGATGTTACTATGGTATTGTCACAAACGAGACTCCCGCTGTTCCTCCTGCTCACCACCAGAGGGAACCCTCTCCTGAGTATTAAACCCCTGAACTACATTTCCCACATACCTGGCTCTGATTACCGTTGCACCTGACTCCCATCAGTAGACTATTTAGGTGCTCTCAAACTCTCTCTCTTTGCGAAGTCTTGTTAACCCTGGTGATCATTTCTGAGCGTTATCGCCTGTGTCTGTCTGCCCGTGGATTTACTCTGGACTGTTTTTCCCTCCTTGATTCTTTGCTGCCTGCCCTGGACTATATTCTTTACTGGACTGATGTTTGTAAGCTTGCTGCCTGCCCTGACCTTATGCCTGTACCTGGATTACGATTTGCCTTATCCCTACTGTTGTGTCTGCTGGCGATTGACCCTGTTTGTACGACCCGTCATGTCACTCCAACTGCTTAACTGGCAGCCCTTCACTCTCCATTCAGACCGTCACGCTAAAGGACGAGCCGGCCCTTCTCCCCACTCTTCCCATTGAATACTCTGACCTCATCGAAGCTTTTAGCAAGACCAAGGCGATGGAACTCCCCCCCACCGATCAAGCGACTGTTCCATCGAACTATTACCAGGCACAACACCACCTAAGGGCCGAATCTTCCCCCTATCACAACCCGAATCAGAAGCCATGAACAACTACATCGAGGAGGAACTTTCGAAGGGGTTCATTAGAACGTCGACATCACCTGCAGCCTCTGGCTTCTTCTTTGTTAAAAAAAAAGACGGTGGCCTACGCCCTTGTATCGACTACCGGGGTCTCAACGACATCACCGTCAAGTTTCGATATCCTTTACCGCTGGTACCAGCTGCCCTAGAACAACTCCGCAAAGCCAAGTACTTCTCCAAACTGGACCTCCGCAGCGCCTACAATCTCATTCGCATCCGGGACGGTGATGAATGGAAGACAGCCTTCTCTACCAGCACTGGGCACTATGAGTATTTGGTGATGCCTTTCGGGCTGTCCAATAGTCCGTCCGTATTTCAGTCGTTTATCAATGACGTCTTTCGGGACATGCTTAATCGTTGGGTAATTGTTTACATCGATGACATTCTCGTCTATTCCAACACCTATGAGGAACACGTGCAACACGTGAGAACAGTATTACAACGACTCATTGATCACCAATTATACGCCAAAGCAGAGAAGTGCGAATTTCACCAGACTTCCACGTCTTTCTTGGGCTACATCATCAACCAGGAGGGAGTCGCCATGGACGAGAAGAAGGTCAAGGCCGTTCTAGACTGGCCACTGCCAGTAACCTTAAAGGAGTTACAACGCTTCTTGGGATTTGCGAACTTCTACCGACGCTTCATCAGGAATTTCAGCTCGGTAGCCTCTCCCTTAACCTCTATGACTAAGAGAAATGCACCACACCTCACCTGGTCAACTACAGCACAGGAGGCTTTCGCAGAACTCAAGTCACGTTTCACATCTGCCCCCATCCTCCACCACCCTAATCCTGAAATCCCGTTTACAGTTGAGGTGGACGCTTCTAATACGGGCATTGGAGCCATCCTCTCACAGCGGCACGGATCCCCACTCAAGCTCTATCCGTGCGCCTATTACTCCCGCAAACTTAGTCCAGCCGAACAGAACTACGACGTCGGAAACCGAGAACTGTTGGCCATGAAAGCAGCTATGGAGGAGTGGCGTCATTGGCTGGAGGGAGCTAAACACCCGTTTGTGATTCTAACTGACCACAAGAATCTGGAATACTTGCGATCTGCCAAGAGACTGAATCCCAGACAAGCGAGGTGGGCTCTCTTCTTTACACGATTTGACTTCACCGTTACCTATCGTCCCGGTTCAAAGAACACCAAAGCAGACGCATTATCACGCCAACACGACGGTGTAGTTCCCACTGAATCCAAGGAAACCCTGCTTCCTGAGTCATTAATCGTGGCCCCTATTCAGTGGGACATCATGACAGAGCTCACCCAGGCCAATTCACAAAAGACCCCTCCTCCCGAATGCCCCCCTAACAAAACTTTTGTACCTCAGGATCTCTGTCAGAAAGTGCTACAGCAAGTTCACTCCGTACTCAGCTCCGGTCATCCTGGAATCGCTGCCACTGTTCACCTGCTTCAGAACAGCTTTTGGTGGCCAACCTTGCGGGCAGACACAATAAAATTCATTAACGAATGCACCACCTGTAACACAAGCAAACATCTCAGACAACTACCATCGGGCCTACTGCAACCACTGCCAGTTCCCCACCGACCATGGTCCCATCTTGCCATAGACTTTATTACCGATCTTCCCAAGTCCAATGGGAACACCACAATACTCACTGTCATAGATCGCTTCTCCAAGGCCTGCCGGTTGATTCCACTTCCCAAACTGCCCACAGCATTGGAAACAGCCGAACTCATGTGCAACCTTGTGTTTCGCTTCTATGGCCTGCCTGAGGACATCGTGTCGGACCGGGGGCCCCAATTCACATCCAGAGTATGGTCAGCATTCTTCCAACAACTCAACATCAACATTAGCCTCACTTCAGGATATCACCCACAATCTAATGGTCAGACAGAACGCCTCAATCAGGAGATCACCCGGTTTCTCAGAGCCTACTGTCATCAGAACCAAGCAGACTGGAGTCGATTCCTCATGTGGGCGGAGTATGCACAGAACTCACTCCAGAAACCCTCCACCGGTCTAACTCCATTCCAATGTGTAATGGGCTTCCAACCTCCCCTATTTCCATGGTCAGGGGAACCCACCGAGGTACCCTCTGTCAACGACTGGCTCCAGAGAAGCGAGGACATCTGGAGTCAGGCTCACACCCACTTGCTACGTGCTGTCAGGAGACAGAAGTTGCAGGCCAATCGTCACCGTCGCCCCAATCCTGAATATACTCCAGGTCAATGGGTCTGGCTATCCACTCGAGACCTACGCCTCAGACTTCCTTGCAAGAAACTCAGTCCCAGGTATGTAGGTCCCTTCCAAATTGTTAAACAGATTACACCAGTTTCCTTCCGTTTGGCATTACCCTCTAATTATCGTATCTCTCCCACTTTTCATGTATCACTTCTCAAACCCGCTGGTGGTCCGAGAGCGGAGGAGGAGGAGCAGACCAGTGATCAGGGCCCCCCACCCATCTTGGTGGACGGCGAGGAGGCATATCAGGTTCGAGATCTACTCGATTCCAGACGCCGGGGCAGGCTCCTCCAATATCTGGTGGATTGGGAGGGGTACGGACCGGAAGAGCGATCCTGGGTTAATACAGAGGACATACTCGACCCCGCACTCATGACTGAGTTCCATAGGACGCACCCGGAGAAACCGGCCCCCCGACCTCGAGGAAGACCCCGGCGTCGTTCGCCTCTTCGCGTCAGGAGCCGCTCGCAGGGGGGGGGCTCTGTCACAAACGAGACTCCCGCTGTTCCTCCTGCTCACCACCAGAGGGAACCCTCTCCTGAGTATTAAACCCCTGAACTACATTTCCCACATACCTGGCTCTGATTACCGTTGCACCTGACTCCCATCAGTAGACTATTTAGGTGCTCTCAAACTCTCTCTCTTTGCGAAGTCTTGTTAACCCTGGTGATCATTTCTGAGCGTTATCGCCTGTGTCTGTCTGCCCGTGGATTTACTCTGGACTGTTTTTCCCTCCTTGATTCTTTGCTGCCTGCCCTGGACTATATTCTTTACTGGACTGATGTTTGTAAGCTTGCTGCCTGCCCTGACCTTATGCCTGTACCTGGATTACGATTTGCCTTATCCCTACTGTTGTGTCTGCTGGCGATTGACCCTGTTTGTACGACCAAGATTGTAATAAAACTGCAAATGGATCCTCACTCTCCTGGAGCGTCATTACAGGTATACTGAAGTATAATTACAAGCATTCCATAAGTGTCAAAGGCTTTTATTGACAATTACATAATATGCTTCCAGTCTGTTATTCTAACTCAATCAGCATGACAGAGTGATCTCCAGCCTTGTCCTCGTCAACACTCTCACCTGTATTAACGAGAGAATCACTGACATGATGTCAGCTGGTCCTTTTGTGGCGGGGCTGAAATGCAGTGGAAATGTTTTTTTGGGATTAAGTTCATTTTCATGGCAAAGAGGGACTTTGCAATTAATCTGATCACTCTTCATAACAATCTGGAGTATATGCAAATTGCCATCATAAAAACTGAGGCAGCAGACTTTGTAAAAATTAATATTTGTGTAATTCTCAAAACTTTTGACCACCGACTGTATACAGCACCTGTTTGGCACACATAATATGCACACAGTGCTTTCGCCTTACCTTATTTTTCTTGATCTCCAGTATTTTCCACAACTAGTCACATTTATTCCACACATCTGACTTCCCCTTTACCTCCTGAGCAACCGGGAGGTAAAGGTGTTTGGAGTTTGTTATAACCAATTTATTAATGTGATTATGAAATTCTATAGGTCATGCCCTATTGGTCTTGTGCATGCGATGCATACATGTCTCACGTAAAGAGAGCAAGGGTTGAGGGAATAGGGAATGTTTTTCCTCAACAAATGCAGGATTTCGGTAAGAAAACTTTTCAGTCAGAAATGGCTGTAATTATGTTGCAGCTTCAGCAACACCGACAGCGCGATAAACACTGTTGATGTTCTGTGGTGGTCACTGCAGCAGGGAGGAGAGAGAGACAACGGGTGCTAGTCACACAGGCACTCGCTGTCATTTTTGTTTTTACACTGCGCAGCAAGTCTGAGCCCGGCACAATCAAATAAATTGCAGTCGGACTCCCTCTAGTAATTTGTGTGTCTTCATTAATTCATCAAACAGAGCGCTTAAAGCATCAGACAAGCTCAGTGCATATAGTTGATTTGTTTAAAACACATACAGTGGGGAGAATAAGTATTTGATACACTGCCGATTTTGCAGGTTTTCCTATTTACAAAGCATGTAGAGGTCTGTAATTTTTATCATAGGTACACTTCAACTGTGAGAGACTGAATCCAGAAAATCACATTGTATGATTTTTAAGTAATTAATTTGCATTTTATTGCATGACATAAGTATTTGATACATCAGAAAAGCAGAACTTAATATTTGGTACAGAAACCTTTGTTTGCAATTACAGAGATCATACGTTTCCTGTAGGTCTTGACCAGGTTTGCACACACTGCAGCAGGGATTTTGGCCCACTCCTCAATACAGACCTTCTCCAGATCCTTCAGGTTTCGGGGCTGTCGCTGGGCAATACGGACTTTCAGCTCCCTCCAAAGATTTTCTATTGGGTTCAGGTCTGGAGACTGGCTAGGCCACTCCAGGACCTTGAGATGCTTCATACGGAGCCAGTCCTTAGTTGCACTGGCTGTGTGTTTCGGGTCGTTGTCATGCTGGAAGACCCAGCCACGACCCATCTTCAATTCTCTTACTGAGGGAAGGAGGTTGTTGGCCAAGATCTCGCAATACATGGCCCCATCCATCCTCCCCTCAATACGGTGCAGTCGTCCTGTCCCCTTTGCAGAAAAGCATCCCCAAAGAATGATGTTTACACCTCCATGCTTCACGGTTGGGATGGTGTTCTTGGGGTTGTACTCATCCTTCTGCTTCCTCCAAACACGGCGAGTGGAGTTTAGACCAAAAAGCTCTATTTTTGTCTCATCAGACCACATGACCTTCTCCCATTCCTCCTTTGGATCATCCAGATGGTCATTGGCAAACTTCAGACGGGCCTGGACATGCGCTGGCTTGAGCAGGGGGACCTTGCGTGCGCTGCAGGATTTTAATCCATGACGGCGTAGTGTGTTACTAATGGTTTTCTTTGAGACTGTGGTCCCAGCTCTCTTCAGGTCATTGACCAGGTCCTGCCGTGTAGTTCTGGGCTGATCCCTCACCTTCCTCATGATCATTGATGCCCCACGAGGTGAGATCTTGCATGGAGCCCCAGACCGAGGGTGATTGACCGTCATCTTGAACTTCTTCCATTTTCTAATAATTGCGCCAACAGTTGTTGCCTTCTCACCAAGCTGCTTGCCTATTGTCCTGTAGCCCATCCCAGCCTTGTGCAGGTCTACAATTTTATCTCTGATGTCCTTACACAGCTCTCTGGTCTTGGCCATTGTGGAGAGGTTGGAGTCTGTTTGATTGAGTGTGTGGACAGGTGTCTTTTATACAGGTAACCTGTTCAAACAGGTGCAGTTAATACAGGTAATGAGTGGAGAACAGGAGGGCTTCTTAAAGAAAAACTAACAGGTCTGTGAGAGCCGGAATTCTTACTGGTTGGTAGGTGATCAAATACTTATATCATGCAATAAAATGCAAATTAATTACTTAAAAATCATACAATGTGATTTTCTGGATTTTTGTTTTAGATTCCGTCTCTCACAGTTGAAGTGTACCTATGATAAAAATTACAGACCTCTACATGCTTTGTAAGTAGGAAAACCTGCAAAATCGGCAGTGTATCAAATACTTGTTCTCCCCACTGTATACGGAAAAATACACGTTTAAAAATTTGACCAAACGATTGGTCGAAAGAACAGATCGTCCAATATTTTTTTTAGTTCCTCTCCCTGTATCCCCACTAGCCTCTCCCCCTGCCCCTTTCCTCTCCCTGTATCCCCACTAGCCTCTCCCCCTACCCCTTTCCTCACCCTGTATCCCCACTAGCCTCTCCTCCTGCCCCTTTCCTCTCCCTGTATCCCCACTAGCCTCTCCCCCTGCCCCTTTCCTCTCCCTGTATCCCCACTAGCCTCTCCCCCTGCCCTTTCCTCTCCCTGTATCCCCACTAGCCTCTCCCCCTGCCCCTTTCCTCTCCCTGTATCCCCACTAGCCTCTCCCCCTGCCCCTTTCCTCTCCCTGTATCCCCACTAGCCTTTCCCCCTGCCCCTTTCCTCTCCCTGTATCCCAACTAGCCTCTCTCCCTTCCCCGTTCCTCTCCCTGTATCCCCACTAGCCTCTGCCATGCCCCTTTCCTCTCCCTGTATCCCCACTAGCCTCTCCCCCTGCTCCTTTCCTCTTCCTGTATCCTCACTTTGCCATGTTCGCCATCATGTCTGACAAGATTACATGGTAGATTTGTAAAACACCCCAATGTGGAGTGTATCAGAAAAAGTGAAAGCAGATGGGAGGGGGTTGAAAAGGAAGAAAAAACTAAACAAGAAGCCATCTCACAGTGTCCATGACCAATGGCTAATTCCAAAGTGGCCTAAGCCCCTAAAAGGAGCCAGTCCGATCTGGAATGATTAGTCCACTATTGTCCGGGGCAGCTTGTGGATTGCTGCTCGAGTGCACCTCAGAAATACATTGCGGATTAAGGCGCTTAGGAGAGAGAGCATCTCTCTGTCAACCTGTCCCTGGGACTCCACTCCCTAGGGTGCAATACAAACACTCCTTAATACCAAAAGACCCAAACATACAGGCACTTAGCAACAACCTGTGTAAAGGCAAAATATAGATATTTCTGTACTTAGGTAGGCATAATTTCCGTATCAAGTTTAATGTGTGTGTATGTCATTACATGCCTTTATAATAAGTATTCTCTAGTAATATTTAGCGTGTGTGTGTGTGTATTGTCCTAGGCCTACACGCTGAAGGACTACAAGCAGCTGAAGCAGGATGTGAATCTTGGAGGCCTTGGGCCTGATTACACCACCACAAAAATTACAGTAAGTGCCTCTGCCTACCTAAAACCAGTCGTCATACCAAATGAATAATATACTCCTATGGCTTCCAGCAATTCTGTACCCTATGCTTTACTTTATTCAGCAATCTTAAATCTGAACTTTTTTTTAAGTGTTTGTTTAAAAAAAATAAAAGGAATGTAGGTCTAAAACAGACAACGGTAATAATTAGATGCTTCATAAATCCATTTACCCGGTTCATTTTATTCGGCTGATGATCTTCAATAGCCTCTTTGTGCTTCCATTATATCCCGCCCCTCTGTCCCTGTTTCTCATTAAAGACTTGTCTCGTTCTGAACAGATTCAATTGGATTCACAAAGCAAATGAGAGTAGCCCTGGAAGGTTGAATGGTATTTGGGGTCTGATGTATCTTTTGTTAATCCCTGAGAGTAAAAAGTGAGCATGTATGGCCAATTTGCACTAGATTGAGGCCGTCTCTGTCTCTAGGGTCGGCCCTATTAGTGAATGATATGTGTAAATGTTGATAGGCCTGCTGAATGGTTTGTTGTATTTGGTTTTGTTGGGCGGTGTGGAGAGGCTCCGCCGAGGTATACACAAAGCGAATAGGGCCTTAAGGGAGAAATGGCCCAGTTAATTAAACCCACTCTTTTGTAATCTCCCCATCTACTCCCTCTCTTTCTTTCTCTGTTCATTCACAACGTGGCCCAGGCCGAGAAAATGAGACGACAGAAGCTGTATTCAAATGTGATCCGCGAGCAGAACAAGAAGATAAGTAGGATTCCCTTTCTGCCAGCCGCCAGGAACCCAGTGGGCAGCAACAACAAGGACAACATGGTTCCCAGGAGGAAGGTAACAGAGAGAGAGACTGAGAGAGAATCAGAAACAGAAAGAGAAAGAGAATCAGAGAGAAAATCAGAGAGAGGGAGAGGGAGAGAGTCAGATAGAGGTGGAAAAATGGCGACAAAGAGAGAGAGAGAGAGAGAGAGATAAAGAAGAGAGAGAAAAAAGATTGAGAGAGAGAGTACATCGCTTCAAGTGCATCCATCTCCTTCCGGTTTCTTCAGTCAATTTGTCCATCATTATCTGTCAGCTCCATCACACAATGTGGTGTCTTTGTCTCTCAGATAATGGGAGACAATTACTGCATCCTCTGGAAAACAATAGGCTCATTGTCTGTATTGCACTTCCAGTCGCCATTTTTGTTATTTACAGATAACAAATGAATCCCCATGCACTGAAATGTCACTTGATGGCGAGTTTGAGATCAATTAAAGACACATCAACATTTTGTTACAAAGTTGGATCCTCAAGTTCAATCGGCCATTTGAAAGCATAGTTTTTTCCCCAGTTCTTGCAGTTATACCTTCCCCTCCATCTCCAAACTTTATTTATGTAAAACTTTATTTAAATCCTACAGGTATAATGCTTTATTACTTGTTTATTACTTGTAAGCGTGAGTCTTTATGTTATCTTATGTCTTTATAGCAAATGTTCTATTGACTCAAGGTGGCTGTGATTTAGTCAGGAGGGATGATATGGGAAATTATAAGAGCATGTTCATAGAAAGTCTTACAATGCATTATAACAGTATTATAAGGCATCATCATTATACCTGGCAGTGTTACATAAAATGTTACCTTTATTTCCATTGGATTTCAGGCCCTGGAGTACGCCAGGAGCATCCTGAGGCCCAAGGTGGCGACCCAGGCCCAGCAGCCCAAGACCAGAGAGCCAGAGATGGCCCAGGGGGCCCTTAGGGGCAACACTTGCCTCCTGGAGGGCCTCGACCTATCCCAGCTGGCCACACTGGAGGCCCTGAGGAAACGGCACGAGCAGGAGAAACAGACTGTGGCCCGCTTCAAGGTGGTGCATGCCATCTGACACTGCACCGGCTCAGTCACTTTACAGCACACTGGAGTCACCCAACAAGAGGTTTCCCCTTACAGCTGATATGGCCGTTCGACTTTTGAAGAAACGCAGCATATGGACTATATAGACAATATGGAGGAATAAGCAGGGAATTAGTGCAGCAATCGTTCATTAATGCTTGTGTCTATAACTGCAGTTTGGCGTGTTACAGAGTAGCCTGTCTGTATGTGGTTGATGACATAAGCATTTACTGTATGAACGTTTTTTTACGACTAATGATGCTGTTAAACATAGCTTGCGTGTTTTTTCATATGATTTGATGCACTTAAACCATAGGTAAACATGGTACTTATACAGTACCATACCGTAACTTATACTATAGGAAAACATGGTACTGTAATGTAATATATTGATGTTTGAATAATATGCAAATGGTTTGTACACATTTCAGATAAATCATGCTCTGGCTATTGATAATGATTCCTCAATTCCTTGAATATGTCTCTGGTAAAATTATTTGCCTTACAATTGCTCATGAGTCATGACCTGAGTGCACATGACCTGAAAATGTCTAATACAGTACAGCTGCTCAAGTCAATTCAGGCATAACACATATGGTTTGTTGTTGTAGTACAATACCACACATAATAGTACAATACTACAATCTGAGAGAACATGTACACCTTCTAAAGCTGTGTGTAGGTTGTTTGATGACAAGGAGTAGGCAACTGAGTAAAAATACTGTGGGTAGACCATTGGTAGAGACCTAATGGTCAAATTGTTGTCCTAATGACAAATAACACTTTTTGGAAACACTACAGTGTACTACGCCTGTTCTCTGTTGTTTTGATAGCTCTTGACATTGAAACATCCTCTGTAAATTCAACAATACATTATTAAATCAAAAAGCTTTCGGTACTCTGCTGTATTGTCTCATTTTTGGGGGTTACGAGTTGGTAATTCACACTTTGGCATTTTATCCACATTTCCAATTTGTCCCCTTTCACCCTCTCATGCACCTGGTTGCTGCTGTTAATCTGAAATAATCTGCTCTTTTTGTTCCATGCCTGATTAGTTTCCCCCTGTATCCCCCAGTCTCTACTTCACAGATACAAATGGGTCAAACAAAGATTACCCTTTGAAGGCCACCTGATTAGAGCCTGTAAACTAGTTCTCTGTAGTTTAAAGTGAAAATCACCCCCCAATAAAACAAAGTCTCAAGCATCCCCATTTCTTTAATAGAACCGTCAGATCATTATCAAAGAGCTATTTACTCCTATGTAATATTTTAATTAATTATTATTTCTATTTAACCCATCATGGCGTCTTTGATGCACTGTGTTTTTAGTGTTAAAGCCTCAGATGCGTGGGGGTAATAATAAATACGGGACCTTTTGAATTAATGAGAAAAACTGCCTATCCAGACCAACTCTCTTTGCATCTTTCCCCCCACCCCTCTTTTGCCATAGAAATCTAGTTAATTGAAGGAGTCTCTCACCACCACACATGAAGGGGGCTAAATTAGCATCCCTTTCTGACGATTGGAATAGCCGGGGCAGACGTGCACACTTTGATGTGAGTAGGCGGCATGCCCCTGAAAATTAGCTGATGGCACCACTATTAGGTCCAAATGCAGATGCATCCATGTGTTGCAAAACGCTTAATCTTTTAATTGATCACCTTCTGCACGGCCTATTCTCTTCAACGCTTTTTATTTTCTCAGTCAATCCGCATTATGTTTTGAAAACGACATGAATTGCTTTTCAAAGGGTGGGAGAGTGCTGCATATCCTGTTTGGATGTGCCTGTTAATTTAAACCTTCCAAATTAATGGAGAGCTGCCTCCTGGTGCACATTTAAATGACTCAGTAAGTTCAACAATAGCTGGTATTGATGATTTTGGCCTGTGTGTGTGAGTACACCATCGTGCATGCTTTTAAAGGGCATTCCAGATCAAGTGGCCCACATGGAAAGTGCCAGGTCGCCTAGAGGTTAGAGAGGTGGGCCAGGAACCGAAGGGTTGCAGGGTCGAATCCCAAGTCTGATAGGAAATCTGAACCCATAATCTGCTCCAGGGGCGCACCAAGGCAGACCCTGGCTTCCAACTCCTTGGTTGGTGTGTGTGTGTGTGTGCGTGCGTGTTTCTCCAACCCTTTGGTGTTTGGGTGTTTATGTTTCTCGGGGGTTAAAAGCAAAAGGTAAATACCCATTATCTAAAAGGAAAATGAATAAGAAAGTATTTTTCTACTAGAGATGATACTTAAACAAAATCTGCCCTTGTTTTACCACTCATTGCCATTGCAGAAGAAATTGGCATACTTACTCACCTGTAGGCCTAAAGGGTAGTGCTACTACCAACTCTCACAGTCTCATATCAGAATTAGATGTTCATCCATGTTTCTCAAATGTCAAATGTGTGTGTTTGCATGCCACTAGTGAATATTATCTAATGTGAGTATCTTTTAAGAATGTGTACTAACTGATTTTGATCCTATTCAGAGAAAATTACAAATGTGTGTGTTAAGAAGGAGTTACTTTCACCAAGACATGGACACTGTTTTCAATGTTGTAATTTAAACTCCCAACATTTACTGTTGTGTTTAAATTAATTATTATTATTACTAACATCTCCATGTATCATTCATTATACACTGAAGGGCTATCAATTCCCTTTGCTGCCATTTGTCCAAATCCTTTTCTGTTAATGTCTCTGTTGATTGGCCAAGCAATTAAGTGTTGGCTGATTGGCACAGGTGGAGAATATTTAAATAATCAATGCATATTGTTTTCAGGTGTGGCAGTTGTGGCAGTTGTGTTGCAAGAGCTGACTGAATTTCTAGGCTATACTGAATTACTTTATTTTGTCCTGCATTCTTTCCATACTTCCAGAAATGTTTTCTGTTTTACAACATTCGTTAAATATGTATTAAATTCTCTGAACAAATCAGTTGACATGGGTGTCAAATTTAGTTTGGTTGGGGCTGGTAGCCTATTTTACTATGCCAGCGATTAATTCCTTTAGGCTAGAACTTTCGATTCAAATTCTACCACGGAGAGGCAAAGACCAACGATTGGTTTACTTTTAATGTCAACAACATTATGCACACATTTTAGACTTAAATATCTGTCCAAATGTCCCCATTTAGCTTAGCATTGAACGCAATTTGTGAGGGGCCTATGTTGTTTTGAGTCGGCTGCTTGAGTCAGTGGTGCACTCTCTTCTTTCTGCTCTTTCTAAGACATTTGGTGACCCAGTGGCAGAATAACTCAAGTTGAATAAAAGTCATGAGAATGTTTATGAATACCTACCTCCAAGTTGCATGTAACAACTATTTGTTTTAGTATGGTGAAGTCTTTCTTGTATTCCTCACTCAGCGGGGTTCCACCTACCAAGGCGTCGACGGTTTACAACAGCATGAGCAATTTAAACAGACAGCCTCCGATTCACATTAACTCCACAGCTAAGTGGCTATGGGTTTTTCAACAGGTGGGTTGTGTTAATAAAAAGCTATTACAACTGACCTCTACTCTAGATACGGACGGGGCATTTTCTGTAAGCCTAAGGTATGAATGTGGATAGGCCTATGCAAAATAATAGGCTACTTAAAAATATTATTATAACCATAATTAATTATAATGAAGATGCTATTATTATTGAAGTACATTGGCTAAAATTGCTTTTCAAAAGTAGGCTTAGGCCTACTTTCGAAAAATAATTATGAGTTACCTATGAGTATTCCTATAAAACTGTTTGAATAAAACAAAAATATATGTTTTACTTACATCTCCAGTGTCCTATAAAGATATAAATATTGATTAATAACGAACTAATACTAAAGTATTAACTGGCATTAAATTGAAACATTGGTCAATTCATCCAAGTTTAGAGGAAAATGAAACTGCAATCCCTTAGCCTAATAATAAAACCAACAAATGTACACGATAAATGGTACAGGCTAAACAATTAGTTATGGTTATCATGCACGTTTTAATAGCAAAGCAATAACACTTCAAAGGGCATATTCTGCAACATATTTCGATTAAGCTACCTGAACGAAAGTGCAAAAATAAATGTTAATAATGTGACATGCTGAAATTGAGATTTTGTTTATCAAAGTAGGAATATACAAATGTTTCTCAAAGATTTTCTCGCAAAATATTCAACTTGTGGCTTTAAACATTCACAAAAAAAAACATCTTAAAATGAAGATGTCTGGTTTTTGTTTGACTTTTGATTCGAAGATAATAATAGTCATAATAATAATAATATTAATAATAACATCCTAATAATGAACATTGCTTCAGATTATATTTTGTATGTACAGTTGTTTGATATGATGCATTTTACAGTCACGGAAAACATAAATATAGACAGAGCCTAAAATGAATGTGTAGTGACATATTACGCATACACTTGAATAAATACTACTTTGCATTATTGTCATTGATTTGTTTTAAAAAACAATATATAATTTAATATGGAAAAGACACAATTCAATATTTACATTTACAGCGGGTCATGGTTATTTGTTTTTAAAACAACTTGCCACTTCCACTATAGTGAAGGTTTTGGCGAGCATATGTCATCCTCGATATCAACATCATCCTCATTTTCCTCTAAAATGTATGAGTCCGGGTCGATTCCACTGTTAACGTCACCTGTATTCTTTTCGTTGAGTTCACTCTCACTTGCGTTATCCATGGATCTATCTAAATCATTCGGATTTTTCTGGTCGTCTTGTGTTTTCCTCAGTTGCTTTTTATGCTTCATCCTTCTGTTTTGAAACCATGTTTTCACCTGTGTGACAAAGGTGGAATATTTCATAAACTTGCTTTGCAGCACAATGTGAGCATCCCTAAGGCTATGTTGATTGTGTGATGTTAGTTTTCTTACCTGGGTTTCCGAGAGACTTAACGCTGTTGCCAACTCCACTCGTTCTGGCGTGGATAGGTACCGTTGTATCTCAAATCTCTTTTCCAGCCCAGATAGTTGAGAATCCGAGAAAACCGTTCTCGCCTTCCTGCGTCTGCAATGCTTGCCCGGTATCTCTGGATGATGCTGAAATAAAGCCGGCATTTGCATCCCTGTGAAATAAATATTGCACTCAAAATTGAATTCAACACAACATTTAAAATGATATTAACAGATACATTTTCTAAGTTAAATTAAATGTCAAACTCTAGACCTGTGTGCAAATCAATACGCCTATTTAAATCAACCTTTAAAGCGTTTTACTTCATGCAATTTCTTCACACAGTTAGAATATTACTTTAGTCCTCGTTATAATTAGCCCACCATTATATAATGGAGTATAAATTGTTTTTGTTTTGATTGAGTTGGATTTATTCGAAAACGTTTTTTCCACCAACGTTTACTCGCGAAAAGGCCCATGCACCTGTTGTAAAACGCCCGAGACAATTCCATCGTTTTGTCATGCTATTAGGTTTAATAGGCTACTAAAATTGAAATTATACATGCAACAACATTATTAAATCATTATAGGCCTAATGGAATGTCAACGTTAATGTCTTAACTGTCATTGCACTCTCTGACTGCCTTAGCATCATGAATGCATTTACCAGTCCAGTGCCTTCCTTGACTTACCAGACGTAAAGAAATACTGGTGATGGTCCAGCTTTTGTAGAGGATGGTGCGGGTGATGCGCTAGTATCGGAGTGGGCATCAGTGGGTATCCATATTCTAGGAGAGGCATTCGGGACGCCAGAGAGCTTGAGAACGGCGAGTGGAAGACCTCTCTCAGGGGCTTGGGTTTGTGTAGTAAAATATCTTCGATGAAGAACGACGTTGACCTCTGGGCTGGCATCTGAGGCACTGGGGATGTGTAGTTCAGATTCATCTTATATCTCTGAAAACACTTTCAAAATTGAGTCCGTATGGTTTTGATGCTATGTGCACCCTAACAAACCAGGGAAGGGTAGCACTAAACTTCTTCCCCGTCTCCTCAGTCTCCTCAGTCTCAAACGCTAGAATTTTCGTCTGTGTGGCAGCCAGTGAGTGGTGCCAGGTAGATTAGCCTACTATTTATTCAGTGCCAGTGGGAGGTAGATTAGCCTACTATTTATCCAAGGGGAGCGACTGTGGTAAATTGTGAAATTGATTTGTAATCAGCCAATAGCACGCCAGTGGGGCGGAGCATGGAATTAGTTTTGTATGGATTAATCATGGTGACGACGGAGAGGGAGGGTCGCTCGCCATGGTGCTGAAACAGCCTTCCCACCAGAGGCCTGCAGTTGTTCCCGCGCCTCAGTCAAACTTGCTTTCATTCATCCCTTTTCCAGTAAAATTAGAGTAGAAACATATATCCTACTTTTTTAAGCCATTAAACTATTATTTATGTCACATAACTTGTTATGCAATTTATAGCCTATTTATTAACATAAACCGTTTATAACAAGGCATACACCATTACTAGGCAACACAACGTTTCACTTTCTACATGTAGCCTATCTTAAACTTTTTTAATGACTCCTAACATCTGTGGGATTGCTGCTGGCATTCCCAAATAGACGACAGAAAACGAACATTTACTGATCTAAATGGCATTACTTATTTTTTTGTGCAACAGTAACCTGTTGTAGTGATCCCTAGGCTAGTCAGTTTCCTATACTATCTTTTCTTAGTTAGTCATTTTGAGCGGATCGCTGAGGCGGGGGATATAATTCGGCCCTAAATTGGCTGTAATTGTTGGTATTAAAATCTGTGAAAGTACAAGTGGTGCTCCTGCGACATTTAGGCAACGGAAGCCTTAATTTGTTGATATCGTGTTGTCATCACATTTCCAATCACGCTGGCTAATGTGAAAGTGTCTTAACGCAGGCAGAATTTTCGCTGCAATACTATTAGGCAATTAGGGGAGATGTTAGAGCGGAAGTAGTAATTCTTGGGCGCGAGGACAGGATTTCCATTTGATCAGGTAGGCATTACAAATTAATTACTGGATTCAATTACTCACGAAATTGCATTACTGCGCCAAAATTTAAACATGTCCTCCATATGCATGAGCGTGTATAAGGAAAATGGATGTGCACCTTGCAAATGACTCCAAATGTCATTTAGCGCAAGTTTAATGAACTTGGAAATGTGACAGCTTGAGGTACTGTTTTCGTTTGTTTGTTTCTCTCTCAAAGCACAGAGTCCAAACATCATAGACTTTTATGGCAACTACACAATTCGACAGTTGAATGAATGAACTTATATGACATGACTTGAAGGGCTTCGGTAATCCTCTTGAGGCCTATTTTTGACATATCTGAAGAAGGCTACCTATAGAACAAATGATCTTGCTGAACATTTTTTAATAATAATAATTGCAAAGCATAGTAGTATTCGACGTTTTTCCTGCTAAATCATGGACTCAATTGAGAAGACATCTGAGATGCAAGTGCGCCTCCTCAATTCTTCTTAAAGGAACATCAGGGTAACTAGTTGGTTTTAGAGGAAAATTAGAAAGTAGGGTAAATGAACAAATGGTGATGAAATCGTCTTTGCACGGACAGTCAATAAGATCCGTTCTATTCTCAAGGTGGGGTTAATCGGCTTTTAACAGCCATTTCATCAAGTAAATTGTGGTGCCTGGGAGACATTGCATCACTCCTAAGAGCCAATTTATGCTTGATCTGAAAATGTGGTCGGAGGCGCTGTATGGATGGTGTGACGGATTTTCGGAGCCTCCGGTGGCACGCAGAGGCCAAATTGAGCTTCCTATGGCAATGCTGTGCGCCTCCCAAATTGCGGAGGGCTCCGTATAGTTCCGCATTGACATGATTGGTTGACGGTAGGTGGGGCCACGGGAGGTCCTGTATAAACACAAACTCACTTCCTTGACAAGTTCCTTCCCCACAGCTCTGCGCTGCTTCACAAAGCCCAAGAAGTATGAATGCCCTGATTTCTGCAGAGGCCTTATCACCGTAAACGCTGCACGGCCAATGTAGATAGTGGATTGACCATAAAGCGCCTTTAAGTGGCATATTTCGTTCGATAAGAGGCTTGCAGCATTCTATTTGGTAATACATCGATTAGCTTCAGAGACGTCGTCTGGATTATTATTATTTTTTTTGCAGTGTTACAATATTTATTGATCTGGTAACAAGATAAATCAAATTAAGTGCAAATAAGCTTTATATTGTTTTGAGATTCGTCTTTGTTTTGCGTCGGGGCTTACCATCATGTACCAGTGGCGCGGGCGCGTGGAGGACAGGCTTTATTACATAATTAGGTTTCACTGACTTTTTGGCATCAATTGATATGTAACATGATGAATGATTGTGAAACACAGCAGGACAATGTCATATTAATTTAAACATGCATACTTTTTTCCAACACCTTTATCGCAAAACATTGTCCTATAGGCCTAAACCAGAGTTTCCCACACTCTGTCATGGGGACCCCAAGGGGTGCACATTTCAGTTTTTGCCCTAGCACTGCACAGCAGATTCAAATATTCAACACATCTAGCTTTTACTTTTTGAAACAGCTATGTAGTGATAGGGGGGCAAAAAACAAAATGTGCGCCCCTTGGGGGCCCCAGAGTTCGGGAAATGGTGGCCTAAACATTTCTGACTACCATCAATTAACTTCAGTCGATGTTTAATCAATCGAAGTGAAATCGTGACACAAATTCCACACACAATATGTTTGGCAAATATGTTTACCCTGCACCAGATTATCATCTTGCATGCAATAGGTTTATCGGGGTCTTCCACTTAACCAATCCAGTTAGTCTGGACAGCATATCATCCATCATGTTGTACAAGAATGCTTGCCACAGGACCAAAACATTGTTGTATGATCCAAACATATTATTTTTATTATTTTTTATGACAGCCTATGTAATAATAGCCTATGTGTTCAACATAGCAGCTTACTGTGCATCCCCTTACATGCTATAAAACTATTACTAAAATAATCCAGAAGATACTCACTTGAAAACGACTTTGCTTTTCTGCTGTAGCCTGACCCTGGACAGATGTGTTCTATAATTTCTTAAAGCCTGCCCAACTCTGCTAAAGTGTAACTAGCTTGTATACAGGAGACAGTATATTTCTGCATCTATTACATTTTATTTTAAGTACTTGGATCATTTTACTTGACCAGATCTGTGTTAGTTTGTCTGCATTGCAGATAATGTATATACCATATCAGACCTGTAGAGTCAAAATTGTCAATATTTCTGACGTGTAAAAATGGGCACGTACAAATATAAAAGAACAATCATTTAATAATTAAAAAGGAGACATGTTTATCCCCAACGTCCTTTATTCAGATCATTTAAAATCCTATAATCCATGTTCCAAAAGTAAATAGTGGGTCGATCCATCTTGACTCTCAAATTCAGTGAACAGCCACAAGTGGCTCTCAATATAAGACATATAATTTCGGAAGTCTTCTAGTGAGAGTTTGAGTTTCTGGGGCATTCGTGCATCCGATAGGCACACATATAGAATATACCTTTAAAAAAAAGACAAAGACATCATGTTCTCGTACACACACACACACACACACACGCATGCAGGCACACACACACACACACACACACACACACACACACACACACACACACACACACACACACTGAAGTGCATGTAGACCAAATTGATATAAAACACAATTCAGCGACCATCCAAAATTCTATATTCCAAGAAAGGAGATTGTTGCTTGTTCAAGTAGTTAAGAGCTGTACAGTTATGGTCAAAATGTTTGAGAATGACACAAATATTAATTTTCACAAAGTCTGCTGCCTCAGTTTTTATGATGGCAATTTGCATATACTCCAGAATGTTGTGAAGAGTGATCAGATTAATTGCAATTAATTGCAAAGTCCCTCTTTGCCATGAAAATGAACTTAATCCCCAAAAACATTTCCACTGCATTTCAGGCCTGCCACAAAAGGACCAGCTGACATCATGTCAGTGATTCTCTCGTTAACACAGGTGAGAGTGTTGACGAGGACAAGGCTGGAGATCACTCTGTCATGCTGATTGAGTTAGAATAACAGACTGGAAGCTTTAAAAGGAGGGTGGTGCTTGAAATCATTTTTCTTCCTCTGTTAACCATGGTTACCTGCAAGGAAACACGTGCCGTCATCATTGCTTTGCACAAAAAGGGCTTCACAGGCAAGGATATTGCTGCTAGTAAAATTGCAACTAAATCAACCATTTATCGGATCATCAAGAACTTCAAGGAGAGAGGTTCAATTGTTGAGAAGAATGCTTCAGGGCACCCAGGAAAGTCCAGCAAGCGCCAGGACCGTCTCCTAAAGTTGATTCAGCTGCGGGATCGGGGCACCACCAGTGCAGAGCTTGCTCAGGAATGGCAGTAGGCAGGTGTGAGTGCATCTGCACACACAGTGAGGCAAATACTTTTGGAGGATGGCCTGGTGTCAAGAAGGGCAGCGAGGAAGCCACTTCTCTCCAGGAAAAACATCAGGGACAGACTGATATTGTGCAAAGGGTACAGGGATTGGACTGCTGAGGACTGGGGTAAAGTCATTTTCTCTGATGAATCCCCTTTCCGATTGTTTGGGGCATCCAGAAAAAAGCTTGTCCGGAGAAGATAAGGTGAGCGCTACCATCAGTCCTGTGTCATGCCAACAGTAAAGCATCCTGAGACCATTCATGTGTGGGGCTGTTTCTCAGCCAAGGGAGTGGGCTCACTCGCCAGGAAACTCCTCAGACCTTAATCCCATTGAGAACTTGTGGTCAATCCTCAAGAGGCGGGTGGACAAACAAAAACCCACAAATTCTAACAAACTCCAAGCATTGATTATGCAAGAATTGGCTGCCATCAGTCAGGATGTGGCCCAGAAGTTAATTGACAGCATGCCAGGGCAGATTGCAG